CGCGCGGGGCGGCGGCGGCAGTCCGGGCACTGAGGTTCGGAAGCGCGCCGAGGAGCCCTCGCTCCGCCAAGCCGCCGGCTTGCGAGCTGCACCGCGCAGGCGCCGCGGAGGGAGGGGCGTGTCCTCTGCGACGTGCGCACGCAGCCAATCGGCAGCCACGCAGCCGTCTGCCCGAACGCTCGGCCACGCCTCCGTGCGAGCGCCTTCCGCTCAGCGGAAGTGACGGGAAGCTTAAGTCAGGCGCTAGGTAGGGTGAGCGAGAAGGGACAAGTGCGGCGCGGAGGCGAAACTGAGCGCGAGGAGGCGCTGTGGAGGCCGAGGAACAGTCGCTCGGAGGAGAGCCGGGGCCGAGTGTCCCCTCGGGCGACAAGTAGAAGGGGTTCTGCAACCCTGCTCGCCTGCAGAGCCAGGTCCTTAGTCCCCTGGGAGCTCCAGGCGGCCTCGCTGGAGTTAGCGTCTGTGCATTCTGTCCTAAACCTACAGGTTACTCACGACTTGGTTCACGATGTTAACTCATCCACCGTCATGACTATGGAAAAAAGAAAGTTACTTCGCCTGGCGATGGCTCAAGTCTACCTACCGTCTGGAGAATGGTGAGTCCCAGGCCACGTCAACCTGGGCTACCAAGCCGACCCTGTCTCAAAAGGAAAAACAAAAAATGTTCTCTGTGTAACTTAACGACTCAGCTTGCCCAGCATTCTCTTCTGAGAAACGCGAGGCTAAGATCCCAAGAGAAAAACTTCTTTTCTAAGGATAAGGCAAGTTGGAACCAATGGAGAACTTCGGCAGGGAAGTAGCGAAGTAGTCGGTGTCAGGATATCACTGCGTCCTCACGGTGTGGTGTCAGCATTTCACAGGGGATGTCTTGGATGGCCAGAAGCAGCCGCACCCCTCGCGAACTTGCACATCGCAGTACAAATTCTGAGGCGGCCCACGCCGTGGTGGTACCTGTCTGTAATCCCAGCCCAGGCAGGAGTTTTAGGGTGGCCTGGTTACCTTGCAAGATCCTATGTCATAGCTAACCTGGGTTACTACCGAGGCTAGCCTGGCATACAAAGTAAGCGATTCTGTCTCAAACAAACGATGAACAAAACCAATCCTCACCTTCCAGATGGTGCCATACACAGTGTGCTAAGCCAATAGATCAAGGAACAGCACTTTTATGCAGTGAGTTTATAGAGGCAGAGTAATTTGCTTCGATCCACGGGACTAGTATCTGGGTCTATTTGACTCTAAATCCACGTTTTTTCTTTCTTGCTTTTTTTTTTTTTAACTAATCATTTCATTCCATGGTATGGGTGTTTTGCCTGCATTGTATGTCTGTGCATCATTTTGTGTGCCTGGTGCCCAGAAGGGGGTGACCTAGAACTGGGGTACAGACAGTTGTGAGCTGTCATGTGGGTGCTGGGAATTGAACCTCCCAGAATTCTTTTTTTTTTTTTTT